AGGTCCCTTCCAGTTCTAGGAGATGGGATATCTCCATTAATTTAAATTTAATCTCCTCAATATATGTTCCACTCTATATGCATCCGAAGAAGTGGGCTGTAGTCCACGAAAGCTTATGCTCTAATAAATTTGTTAGTCTCTAAGGTGCCACAAGTACTCCTGTTCTTTTATCAATTTATGTATTCACTATTGTGCAATATGGGCGATAAGATTTTCTTCTGATTCGTATCAATTTAAATTTTTGCAATGATGGGAAATTATGAGGAGGGGTCAGATGATGTGGGGCTAGACACTAGTTATTTAAGGACAGCAGATGCTGAGATTCAAAGAGTTAATGCTTTACCACCATTAAAACACAGATAGCCAACCTCACATGGCAAAATATACAAAGCAAATATCCTTAAATCAAACTCTAATAAGTTCTTGAGCGGGATTTTTCTTACTTTGCCCAACTGTAAACTTCAATTATTATCAAAATATCTTTTCATCCGTGTGCGGTGAAATCGACATTTAGTGACATTTACCGATAAAAGTCTAATCCTGCCAAGCCTGCTTATAACCATCTTCTGCTGAGGTGCTTATATACATACTACTCATGACTAGAACATGCTCCTTAGACGTCTGCTTGGGCCTAATTATTAGGCCTGACCCGGAGCCAAGCCCACCCGACCTGAGCCGAGAGGGCAGAGTCATTTTCCAACCTGATCGACCCCTGACTCTGGTCCCTGAACCTGGGTCGGCAGCATGGCTGCCTGCTGCCCATGGGGTCGGCCGTCCTCTCCTGCTTCTGCCGGCTGCTGCCCCTGCTGTGCTGTGCGTGTGCTGCAAAGTGAGCCGTGTTGGGACTCCTTGGCACACTCACACACACAGCGCCCCCACATCAACCCCACGGGCAGCAGGAAAGGAGCCGAGCTGACCCGAGCGGGTCTGGTTGTTTTCCCAACCGACTCACACCCGACGCTTATAGTCGGGTTAGTGTGGGTTCAGGTCGGATGCAGGGCTCAAATGCTTATGACATCTTATTAATCACTTACTAGTCCTTTATAAAATTATAGCGTTGAAAGGGACCACAAGGGTCATCTAGTCTAACTCCCTGCCGAGATGCAGGACATTTAATAACAATACCTGACTCTTGTACAGTACTTCTCTTTAGATCATAAAGAACATTCAGAAAAATAACTTTAATATAAAACGTGAATATAAATATATTCTGGTGGGCTTTCACTATAGTAACTCTGGTCTCTAACTCCCAGTAAAAGAAGTGTCAATTGACTTGCAGTAGGATTTATGTACTGCTCCCTTCCATTGTTAGATTTTCTGTGGGGTTTTTTTGCATAACTGTTATACACACATCCCTTGTGTATTAATACACACCTTATTGTGTTTTGCAGTAATCAAGCAATCAAGCCTAGCAAAGATTCTTTAAACTTAGCCTGGCCACGTAATCCTGGCCTTTCCATTATCAAACATAACATTTGGTGTTCTGTACAGACTGGCATATAACTGATATTAGTCTTTGTTGCAGTTGTTACAAGTGAATTATTGTGGTGAGTGGAAGGTCCTGTTCACATTTTCTGAAATCCCAGAACTGTCATAGGTTCTTGTTTGCTAATCCAATTTAAAGTTGGACTCTTGTTTAGTGATGGGGTGAAAATGCTCTTATTTACAGCGTCATACCTAGCATTTCTCGAGCATGCGCCTCACTCAGACCGAAGAATCCCCAAATAATTTAAGGAATCATTTCTCTCACTGAGAAATGAAGCCACCTCTGGGCTGGAACGTGACTGTGGTTTAACAAAGCACAGCAAGGCTACCCAAGCAGTTTAGCATGGGATTGGAAGAATAGCACCATATCCAACTGAAATGGCAAGTGGGAATGTTAGGGAACAAAATGGATTTACACTAAATAGAATTTGCCAAGGACAGCAGTATTAATAGCTGTCACCTTGCGAGATATGCCATAGGATCTTTCACAGCTGCTAGTTTGCAGGAGTTTGATTTGCGTTCGGATTATCAGGAAGTTGCTGATACATTTCTCCTTCTGCACGGTGTACGCATGCCTACTTCGCATGTGCAATTATAAGTGTGTGCGTAAGGCAGGCATTTGCACATGCAAAATTGCACAGAGACTGCAGGTCTCAACTCTCTCAGAGACAGACCCTTCATGATAGGTCTCATCTGAGAGATGGTGCTTCAAGCAGCAGGGTATTTTCTGTATCTTGCCCTCTAAATATATCCCTTTCATGAGCATTATTCTTCCTCCCGATGACCCACAACTGGCTCAGACCCCTCTACATGCAACAAAATCGTGGGGCAAGAAATTAAAACACAGGCTGCTCAATGAGCAATACAGACCATAGAAATAGATAGCAAAGATCCCTCCGTTGGCTGCGTCACTGTGGAATTTCATCAGGATTTGGTTGGAGGAGCTTTGGGCAGATTTCTTCACTGAGTTCCCCGTGAACATGCCCAGCTGTGGGGCTGTTTGCTGTGGTCCATCCCTGAAAGCACAAGTCAGAAAGAACACAATCACATTACACCTTTCCCTGTTATCCCAGGGTAGGATCCGATGCACGCATACACACAACCTCCTGTTCTTTCCTGCCCTATCTTTCTTGTCACCACCCCAATCTGCGACATTAGGTTTCCCATTACTCCTTTGGCAGCCAATAACTTCACTTCCAGAGTGGTACAAGTGGATTCTTCCCAGGTTGGCCCATATAATTGCAGGCAATGGGGACTCCAGATGTAACCAGTAATCTGCTTCTGAAGAGAGGGTTCATCTCAGCCTTCTGAACTTTCATCACCTGCCTTTGGAGAATTACGGCCAGATGGTCCAAAGAGCTCTGCACTTTGGTGCACAGTGGATGCTGAGCTCCTTTGAATGTCCAGCTCCAGCAGTGGGCACTGAGCACTTGAAAATGTAGCTCTGAGCTCTTTAGGAAGTTTGGCCCCATGTGCCCCCCTCAATGGACCAATGTGGGTGGAGTTATTGACGTGCCGTGCATGACTTCTCCTTCCCTATCCTAAGGGGAGATGAAGATCCTACCCTGCCATGCTCCTGGAGCCAAATTCTCAGCTGATGTAAATCAGCCTAGCTACACTGACTTTGGTGGAGTTACACCCATTTACACCAGCTAAAGACCTGGCTCCCGATCTCTGGGCGCTTGCGTTTGAACCCAGCTCTCCATTCCTGATGCCATGCTGTGCCCTCGCTCTGAGTGAAAGCGTTCTGTGATTTCACTTTGGATTGCACAGCTACTGACAAAGCAAAAGCTAAAGAGGACATCAGCAAATGTAGTATTTCCCCCCTGTTCTATATCTATCTAGTACCACAAAGTCATTCTGCCAAGGAATAAACAAGCCTGGGAAAACGTCTGCTGGGGAAATCTGAAGCAAAAGGCAATTCCTATTATGCTAGTTTGAACCAGATTCATTTCATCTAAATTCAGCTTGAGGTAAAGACCCCGTTTGCCATTCATAAAAGTATCCTCTGTCAAGAGATTTTCTCTTATTCCCTTCAGCAGAGCATTTCAGAGATGAAGGGCCGGGCTGAGGAGAGAATCCAGCAGGAGGAGGAGGGACCTGGAAGCTAATAATGTCCAGTCTCAGCTGGGATGATGTCCTGCATTTGCCCCCAGCAGAGATGCAGCGTCTAGAGAGACTAATTGGGTCAGACTGGATGCAGGAGGGCGGCATTTGTTTAAACTGCACACAGCATGGGTTTGATTTCTTTGTTTTTGAACAGGCAGTGATCACAGAATTAGGGCTCGGAAAGACCCCTTGCCACTCAGTCCCTAGACAGTATTTAACCTCCAGGGGCCAAATCATCGGTTGCTGTAAACGGCATAACTCCAATGAAGTCAATGGGAAAAGGATGGCGAGAACTCAAAGTCACTGGAGCTACGGCCAATGTACATCGGCTGAGGGGCCATCTACAGATCTTTGTCCAGTCCCAAATGAAGGGGGTTTCCACCAGTTCCTTTAGGAAACCAGCCCATGTTCAGTCTCATTCCCTCTGGGGACTTTTCATTTGAAATCTAGCCTAAGTTTTAGGTTAAGATCACAGAAGCTAAGTTTGGAGAAGATCTCTCAGCTCATCTTGTCCATTCCCCTAAGCCAGCACAGCACATGGCTCTATGGAGAAAGGGCCTATCAGACACTGAGCTGATACTTACTAGGCCAAATTCCCATCACTCCTAGCTATATTCCAAACCCCTCCAGAAGCATTCTTCTCTCCACCCCTTCCCTCCCCCCCGAATGCTTTATAATGGCTCAGTCCAGCAAAGCACTCAAGTGCATGAATAACGCCATTGAAGTCAATGGAACTATTCCCGTGCGTGAGCGCTTTGCTGAACCGGGGCCCAAATCCCTACAGATCAGGCAGACAGACAGACCGACTGACCGACCAAGTCAGCTCTCACGCGCCCGCCGAGGCACCCACCAGATGGTGATGAAGTCATTGTAGGGCTCCGTTTGCAGCAGTGTAAAGTTGAGATGAATCCCATATCCTGCAGGCACCGTGATGAGCCAGGTGCAGTCCTGGGAATTGGGGTACTGGTTGGGGAAGCCCGGGGAGTAGACCGTGCCGTTCTGGGTGGTGATATTTCCTCCACATGGGACTGCACGTCATTAATAAAGAAAAACACAAATACAATTAACAAACCCCTCCTGGATCCCCTGCCCCTCTTCGCCTACCCTCCCTTCCTTCCCCTGCTGTGAACCTCCTCCCAATTGAACAGAGATGGATGCACCGCTCACTCCTGCGCCCAACGATGCTGATCTGCTCCTCAGCCCCAGAGGATGATTCAGGAGTGATCCGAGAGTCAGAGGCCGATCCAGATGTCTAACTACAGCTCCCGGCTCCCGTTAGCTCAGAGGGGTCAAGATAAAGGCAAGATTTGAACTCCATTTCCTTTGCACAGTGTCAACAGGGAATAAGCCAGCACTGAGGGGCTGCAGTGACCGGTCTCAACAAATACACGAGAGGACAGAGATAGAGCAGCTAGACAAGACAGTGGTTCTGATTATAGATGGATCCAACCCAATGTGCACGCTAGGAATCCGTGGATCCTGTCCCAAACTTTTCAGCTCCATCCCGTTAACAGTAAACCCTGCTTAGTGCTTCGGGGCTGGGCAGAAACAATTAGAGGCTTTTGGTACCCAGTTGACAGCCAGGTGCGCTGAGAAACCACACCCCCGCTCCAATGCAGGGACTAGGGCTCTCCAGCCATGTGTACTCATGGGGGAACAGCATGCTCCTAAACCCGTCAGTGGGCAAAGCTACCCAATCATAAATATGCCACGACCTGGGCCAGAACTGCCGGACAGCAGTTTTAGAGAGCGGATCTGAGAGCAGGGGTGGGGATTATTAGTAGTTGTTATTTGCATGACAGCAGCATGCCCTGATTGAGATCTGGGGCCCACTGTGCCAGAGACAAACAAAGAATGGGAGGGGAAACAGAGAGGTGATGTGACCTGCCTACAGACACATGGCAGATGAGTGGCAGACAGGGAACAGACCCCAGGCTTCCTGAGTCCCACATCTAGGTTTTACCCACTGCATCATGCTGCCTCTCTAGGACGCAAGATTTCTGGTGCAGAACCTTTTCCAATCTGCTTGGAACAGCCTTGGTGGATTTGCAGAGCGTGATTAGCCCCCTGCAGACAGGACTGTCTCTCACACCTTGTGCGCCTGATTCTCTTGCTTACACACAGCGCGTCACGCCGGAGTCGCTCCATTGACTTCAAGGGAATTAGTTCCAATTAACGGTGTAAATCAGATCCGAGGCAGGCCCTATGTATTTAGTGCCTAATCCCGCTTTGCCTATTCACGTGAGCAGTCCAAGTGAGAGTGTGCGTGTACACACACACACACACATTTACCTTATAGAACAAGGATGAGATTTTCAAAACCACCTCGGAGATTGGGATGCTCAATTCCTCTCAACTGTAATAAAAACAGCGCAACCTAGTGATTTCCAACGGAGTCCCTTCAGTGGCTTTAGAAATCTCAGCCTATACAGATTTATTTCAAAATCACTACTTCTCTTACAGTTAAATGGACTTTCCGCTGTGACCTGCACGGGAAGGGGAGATTGTTGGACAAGGGCAACCATTACTCACGGGCAGCTTCTATGCAAAAACAGACAGCGATTGCTGGTGGTGTTTAAGAAAAAAAAGTATCTGGAAAGGGAGCATTTGCAATGATATTAATAGTGCTAACAGCCCAGTGACTCCTCAGCAACCACCCTCCCCAAACTGTACTTAACCACCTCTTACTGCGCCTAAGTATGTGGCTCCTGAAGCATCACATTTAGAAGTACTGCAGGATATGCCAATTGCTTTGTACTCCCTTCCTCGTGGTGTAGCAGGGTTCTTGCTAAAGAAAGCAAGCAGGGATGAAAGAAAGGGCCGGATGGAAAATGTGGGCAGAACGGTTATTTAAATACCTTAGGGGCTCGCTCCTGGTACCTCCAAGGCACAGTGAAATCAACGAGCATTGAGGGTGTGCAGCACCTGTGGCTAGAACTCAGCACCTTACAGGACTGGGTGCTAATGGGCAGATATTCAGTCACATCTTCAGCGGGTGTGTATCACCAGAGCTCCATTGAAGTCAACTGACACCAGCTGACGTTGTGGCCCTCTATGTTTTATGTCCTCTAGAGCTAAGGAGTCTTGATTCAAAAGAGATAAACAAACGCAGGCCCCGCAGTACAAGGCAAGTTTGGGAGCAACTGGTACAAGCCATCCTGCTTACGGGGGGAATCTTGCACTTCCTAAGGTTTATATAAAAGACCCCGCCACAGTAAACTGCACATAACTCAATTTCTCTCTCTTGGACTGATGAAAGGCCAAGATAGCCTTGAACAGAGAAACTACACATTTCAGACTTTAAGCATATTCTCACCAACAACCACACACCGCACCATAGTAACTCTAACTCAGGAACCAATCCATGTAACAAACCTCGATGCCAACTCTGCCCACACATTTACACCAGAAACACCATCACAGGACCTAACCAGATTAGCCAAAACATCACCAGTTCATTCACCTGCATGTCCACCAATGTAATATGCGCCATCATGTGCCAGCAATGCCCCTCTGCCATGTAAATCGGCCAAACTGGACAATCCCTACGTAAGAGGATTAATGGACACAAGTCAGATATCAGGAATGGCAATATACAAAAACCTGTAGGAGAACACTTCAACCTCCCTGGCCACACAATAGCAGATGTAAAGGTAGCTATCTTACAGCAAA